TAAAAAAGGAAACTGCTTTTTTCAGCTGATAATTAGTTGATGTCAGCAACAAGGCCATCTACCTTGTCCAGACTGTGATTTTTGCATTTAGAATAAGCCACAGTGATGTGCAAAAGATGCAAATAAAGGGATTAAGTAATATATTTGGTGTATTTCCACAGTCTGTGGAACCTGAGAATCTTGCAGACAATGTGTTGTGATTGTGATGTCTGTAGAAGACTGAGAAAAATCACATTCTGATTCTTATATAGAGATTACTTCAACAGGGATGTGTATAAAATATTAAAAATTCTAATTTGTATATTAGCACCTTAAAATATTATTAACAATAAAAATATTGGTCAGAAAGGAACAGTTCTAAGCTTTCCTTATAGAAATAAGAGTAATGATTTTTATCTCCTTTGGATAATGACTCAATGTAAACTGGTATAACCTAAAAATGCAGTGCACATTGGTGCTTTTCATTTCTACCTTTTGCTGCTTCTCAGGAAGCAAAATAGTTTCTTTCCTCACCTTGTGCTACTTGTTATGCTTGTATTTTACTTTGCTCTTGCTTTACATTTCTTGAACTCATAAATTTTTTTCTTTTTGAAGTTTGCCACTTTTCGCTTCTTTGTTAAATAACATAAATGGGACTTGAAAACTGGCAATATGACAGAGTTTTATTTTAAATTAAATATGTCACATGTCTCATTAAAACTAAATGTAAAATGTTTCTTAACTTAAAAGAGATGCTTTAAATGTTACCTTAAGGATAAATTGAAATAAGTTAATCTGGTGAGTAAAGCTGGTTCAAAGCTAATATAGTTAAATCTGGCAACCAAAAGACTATGCAAAGGACATAAGAATGAGGGTAAGGATGAAAGTCTTTTTTAATAATTTCAGCTAACACTAAACAACTGCATCATTTAATAGCTCAGTTCATGGAGCTTAAAATAAATATCCCTGTTTTGGTAATTCTATGCCTATTATTCTCTGCAGATCAAATCTGCCCACTGTAAGAATACGTTTAGTGAGATTATTATTATTATTCTAGGAAGTACCCAGTAATATTATCATTTGTGCTGCGGAAAACTTAGAGCGAAATTGTGAATGATTCCAAAGGTGCATTTTGGCATATATGGCTAATATGATTCCTTAGAAAATAGTTAATAGGTAATGTTATAGCCCTGAAATTGGTCCATAATGAAGGGAAATCCAGATCTTGTTTGAATAAAATCTGAAAGATTGATTAATTGTGGAGCATACTGAGTTTTTTTTGTTATTGCAATACATGGATTAAATGGAAATGTTGGCAAATATTTTGCAGACTGAAGTAAGAAAAACCTATTCTAGATTATATAAAATAATAATTAAAAAAACATTATTCTGAAGTAGGTGAGTAAAATTGTTTAGCAAGGTGATAACAGAGTATTCTTATCATTTCATGAAGACTTCAAAAAAGGGTAAACTATATTAGAAAGTATACTATACATTACAGTATATTAAAACCATGCAGAAAAATGACCTGAATTGTATTAACAACTACAAAATTCAGTGTAAAGATTATTCTATTTTTTGTTAATACTGTCATAGTCCAGTCTCTAGTTATCTAAATACCAATCACTGAAAATTTATAGAGATTTCTGAATTTCAAATACAAATTTGTGGTAGAGATTTTAGTCTTTATCTGGCATTGTCATAAATCATTACGTGTTTCATAAGTATTCCATATAGTAGTATGTCTCTATCATGATCTACTCTGTATTTTCACAGGTAGCAGCTCCTGACTTTTGGAATGAAAATAGGATTCACAAAATTTATATTCAATTTGGAGATTTCAGACTTGGCTAACAATCACAGGAGAAAAAAAAAAATCACTCTTGTAATTGGCAAGTTTGATCTGAATCATTGGAAGATGATTAACATAGAATTCCCACACTATAATTTTCAAGTCATTTTTAGAGGAGAATTATTATGTTGTTCATCTCACAACTTCTGAGGGATCATTTACAAATATGAAAAGATATTGAGCTAAATTTGATTCTAGCATCTTTTCATTAACCAATTGTACTTATGACTGCACGTACCTTAAAGACACAAATCTGTTTTATAGCACTTGCAGTTACTTTATGACAAAACAGGGCTGTATAAATTTAAACTAGCAGGTGAAATATGCATACTGCTAGCATCTGAATTGGGAAGTTTTTCTGTAGAGAAACAGTAAGAAATTCACTGAAACAACAGTTTTCAAAATGTCAGTAACAAATATGAAAACAAAACCACTGCTTTACAGCTGATCATTTTGTGCAATAAAATTGCTGAGTGAAACAGATATCCCTCTATTTCTCAGTGAGGCTGATATGAATCAGAGTTGCCCATTTTCCAAAATATCTATAGGAAACATTTTATACTAAAAGTTGTGAAACAAAAGGTTTTTTTTCTTTTTTCTTTTTTTTTTTTTCCTTAATACTATAGTAGACTGGTAAACTCTTCTGTCCTGATTGAGACACTACTCATGATTTTCAGACTGGGTAAAGTTTGGTGGTCAAGGCTGCTAAGTAAAGCAGCCCTCCTGAATCATCTAACAATATCTAGATAGATAGAACTGAAAAATGGTTATGTATATATTAGAAAATTGAAAACTTCTTATTTTGTCAAGGTGAAAAGATTAACAATTTTTAGAAAATGTAAAGTGTTGTAGCTTTAACTATTCTAACAGGTCTTCCTTATAAATACGCCATTCAAAAGCACAACCATTCCTTGTTTGTGAAGGTCTCTAAGTTCAACAATCTTCAGAAATAAATAAAAAATTATTTTTTTAAAAGTATACATTTTGAATTAGAGGGGGAGAACAGGTTAATGATTTTTTAAAAGTGGCACATAAAGAACATTTTTCACTTTCAAATTGGTTTAGTAAGAAATCTTTACGCGCACATAGCAACAGGAGAAGTGAAGAAAAAAATCGTCAGTGTTGATGTTATCTTGAATACTTACCAAATGAGTATGTTAAATGATCTTTGCATCCTTAATTGGGCATTTTTTCAAAAGCTTCACGTATTGTGGATTTTTGTCTGTTCTCTGATTTATTTCTCTTCAGTATGCTGTTTCTGTACTCCTGGTGTTAGGCAACATCCCCAGGAGCAAGAACACAGTTTTCAGGGTTGATAAATTACTAAACAACTCCCTGGAATATTTTGCTAAATATCACTCTCCCTAAAAAATTCCTTGGAAGGTCTGTGAATTACTTTTGACTAATACTACTTTTTGGGACAGTTTACATGGGGCCATAGTTAGAGAATTTGACAGAAATGATGTTGCCCAACACTGCTAGGTGGCTTCTGAATTTTTACAGAGCACACTGTAGCCTCAATCTATTATCACATGGCCATTTAGCTTGAATTTAGCTGAGAATTTATAATGCCAGACCTAGCTTTGTGAGGCATGTAATGATATAAAAATCACGAAAGATTTGTCATTTATATTTACATCACCTGCAACTCCCTGAATGTCTTTAAACTGATCATGTTTATCATTTCTGCATGGAAGTACAAGTTTATGATCATAGTTAATGTACACAGGTAGCTTCTTGTCTATATGCTACAAAATGTGTTTCTTTTTGCTGCATGCATAAAATCAAAAGTATTCAAAATAACCTTTAAAATTAATCGAGACTTCTTCTTGACATAACTCTTCCGCTGAATCTAAAAGCAAAATATGCATTTGTCACGGAGTTGACCAGATCAATCTATGTCCGTGACAGGGGCGACAGGCCTTTGCCCTCCCCCCCCCACCCCAGTCCCACAAAAATGGGAAGGAAGGAAGGGAGGAAAAAAGCAGCGGCAACAATCTATGGAGGAAAACTTATTTTACTATAATATTGGAATACAAAATAACATAATATATACAATTTAATTGAAATTGAGATGAATAAATCAGACACGATGAGAGAGAGAGAGTTCCCGGGACCGAGTCAAACCTCAAAAGCTTGGAACGGCTAGGAAAGCACCCTCCAGCACCCACTGCAAGGCAGCAAAAGGACGCCCCCCCCCCCCCCCCCTGGAGGGGCCAGATCCCGTGACTTCTGTAATGTACAGGGATAGGTAGCTGGGATTGGGCAGTGACACTTTAATGCCCCATACACTACATGATGTTTTGATGTGGAATACTGAAACCATAAAAACATAGAACCATGACAGCATTTCATATTGATAATAGATCTGAATTCCAGATTCCTTCAGTTAGATATGATATCAATGATACAGGTGCAGAAAGGTGATGAGAGAAACTGTGATAAGTGTATCCAAATATATAGTTAGTCAACTACAATACTGTACTAAAAAAAAGAAATGCAAAAAGGGTTTTTTTCAGTATGGATGTATTGAAATAAGTCTGTACTGAAGGTCGTTAATAGATGAATTATATTACTTATATATTACATAGTATTGACTTTAGACCTATTATCTGAATCCCTAATAAATTTGTAAATTTCTTTGAGGATATTTACATTTTTTAATGGAATTAAAAGGATAATGACTTCAAATGAATTCTGGTTTAGAACAAATATAAATAATACAATATATAAAATCTAAAATTAGTCTGACATGGAGACAGTTCTTCTGTTTTCCTTAATTGTCATGTATCCTGCCATGTTCTTTATCTGCTTAGTGAATTTACAACATGCACAGCAGGTTGTGAATTTTTAATAGGATCTCTTCAAGGAAGGAAAAGGTCAGTATTAACATAAAAATCTTCTTTAAGAATTGTGGTGCAAAGGTTTCTTAGCAGAGAACAGGTGTCGCTGCAAAACTGAAATCTGCCATCACAGTCAAGTTAAAAGATTCTTGGAGCTATGTTAAGAGTCAAATGCTTCATTATAACATCATGAAGTGATTGAAAAAGACTGTTTTCTTGTTTGATGGATTCAAAATAATTTTATCTATTATAATAATAGCAACTAAAAATGTTTTTATTACTTCTAAATAAAATGACCTATTTTGTTTGCTTGTTTTTCACTTCAGCTTCATTCTGACCAGGATAAGGGAGATGGATCCCTCAAATACATTTTGTCAGGAGATGGGGCTGGTACTCTTTTTATAATTGACGAGAAAACAGGTGACATTCATGCTACTCGGAGAATTGACAGGGAGGAGAAAGCCTTTTACACCCTGCGTGCCCAAGCTATTAACAGAAGAACTCTGAGACCAGTGGAACCTGAATCTGAGTTTGTCATCAAAATCCATGACATCAATGACAATGAACCAACATTTCCAGAAGAAATTTATACTGCTAGTGTTCCTGAAATGTCAGTAGTGGGTGAGTGCTTTAGACTGCAACAGAAATGCCTGCTCTAATTATGTTATTCAAGAGATATTTTCCCTGTCTTCTGAAAATTCAGTTATATCTGGAGTCCTTTATGGAATAAGTACTGTTAAGTTTGGATTGCTCATACAAATACTAGAATTTCATCCAGAAAGAGATGTGATTTCTACTAAGAATGTTTAAAACATTAACTTAAAGTCATTTGGAATATAAATAGAAACAGAAAGTAAATAATGGTGATCACTTTCCTCTTTAAGAATTATTAGAATAAGATCAATAAATTAATTTTTGAATGCTTAATGAACTTTTCTTTCATTTTACTGGAAGTGCCAAGTGATGATAAGCACTACATGGAGAGCTGTCTTGTCTTTCACTCTTTCTGTGGCCAAGGAAAGTTATTTGTTTGCTCATGTACTGTTGATGCACTGCCTGTATGTAGACTGTCTGCTCTTCATTCTCCTCTTTGCATTCAGTTTCAGGTAGAATGCTTAGCAAGAACTTTACATTATATGAAACCCTTGTCATTCCTTGATATATATGTGCCTAGAGTCTCCCAAGGATTTTTTCCATCATGACTCCACATCTGAGTAATACTGAATTGTGAAAAACCAAACTCAGTTTGCTAGGCATGATCAAGTGTTAAGGGTAAGACAAACACTATTCTCTGTTCATGTCAGAATTTTATCAAAATGAATGACATGAACCTAACAGAATGGATTTTTATCCACAACTACTAAGTTCTGGCCTGTATCATGGAATTCAGTATTATGGAATGCAAGCTTCTATTTAGTGCAGAACTATCTTTAGGCTGTATTTTGAGAGTTTTCAAAATATTCCCTTAAAATAATAATTCACTCATTCATTATACTACTGTAGATAAAATGTTAATTTCTAAATATCCAGAAAACGTCCACAGTAGCTTCAATATTTTTTATCTATTATTACTGTTTTAATTATTGCCACTGCGTCCACTACTCAATCAAATAGTGCATTTAGATACTTTATACATACAGGTGTTAGAATTTTTCTACTTTGCTTAATGTTTAAAGAGTAAGAAAATAATGAAAGATAATAGCAAAGCTCTACAGCAACGCATGAAAGTAAAATACGAATGTTCTGTTCTTAAAAAAATATTTCTGTCTTCTTGCGAGTTGTGATTGAAACATTAAGAAGTCATCATTCAGCAATATTTTTTTTGTATTCACAGATGGAAGGCAGGGAAAGCAAATGTATTAGATTTTTGTAGATAGTATCTAAATCACCTAAAGTACCTAAAGGAGACATATAAGAAAGTGGTAAAGGGGCTTTATCAGGACTTTGAACCAAAAAGGGGGCAGATTTAAATTAGACATTTTCTCAGCATGGTGGAACAAGTTGTCCAGAGAAGCTGTGGATCTCAGTCCCTGAAGGTGTTTGAGGTCAGGCTGGATGGGGCTTTGAGCATCCTGTTTCTGTGATTCTGTGACTGTATATTGGTCTGCACTGAAATTCCATCTGATGAAGAACTGAAAAGGCTTCCTTATTTATTGTTCTAAAATAGAAATAATAGTATATAGTAATACCAATTTTTACCGGTTTTGCTGATTGGATTTCTAGAATCGTGTCTTTTTAAAAATGTAGTTACCTTTAGGGAAAGTATATTTAAAGAACATTGCTGAATATTCTGGAGACCCAAGTCAAGATTTCAGTTGGATTAAAAGAAAAAAATCTTAGAGCTTCCACTTTCTTTTTCATATTGACTGTGGACTAAGGAAATTTAATACTTGGAGATAAAAGAAATGTAGAGATAAATCGTAGTCTAGGATTGCCTTGTTCATCTTTCTTTTGCTGCTCATTAATCATAGTAAAGGCAGGGATAAACGGGCTAACTTCAAGATCTCACATTTAGGTCAATAGCCTTGAAGACATCTTGTTCTCCTGAAATTTTTCTGCAGATATTTTCCCTTCTTTCACTTTCTTTTTTTTTTTTTTTTTTTTTTCCACTTTCTTACAATGAAATTCTGGTTTTTACTACAGCCTTCTGTTTTGCCTCTTCTTCACTCTCCATGTCTTCTTGATCAAGACTTCTTTTCAGAACAGTACACCACTTCTTTTATTTGATGTTGTTTCTCTGTTCATCTATGGTAGCTAGATACAATTTAATCATTATTTATCCTTATTTCATTCTATATCTTCAGTGCTAAGCAAAATTTTATGAATCTTTTTCCCAGAAGCACTTTGCATTTCTATCTGTCGTGCTCCCCAGCAGCTATTTTCCACTTATGCATTACAGATAACAATATACTCTTCAGTGTGATCTCTCACTGGGTTTACGTGTGATCTACAGGTTTGGTCTCCCACAGTTAGCTTGTCATCCCTAACTGTGGCTATCTTTTTGTCTTCAGACAGCATTTTGAGTTACTATTGTTTGGGTTTCTCCCCAGGCTTTTTGTTCACTCCCTCATTAGTGCTGCTTCAACAACTTCCAGAGCTTAATTCTTTTCTTCTGCCATACCATTTATCTCATTACACTCGCTTCTTTTTTTTCTATTACCAACATTTTTCTTTACTCTCCTTTTCATAGTTCTCACACCAAATCTTTTGTATTTCATGACTTGCAATTTTATAATGTTAATAACAGATTATGAAAAACGTGGTCATATTGCATATTTAGATATTTTACAAACCATCTTAAAAGAACCATTTTAGCATTACAAGCATCCCCTGACTTCCTTGTTTTCAGCTTATTATTTTCCAAGTTATGGTATGACCATGTAAGCAAAGTTTGCTGACATAGACTTATCTGAATATGCAACCCTTTCCACTTCTGTTATTGTGCTGTATTAAATACTTTGTTACAGGGGAGAACAGATCTCATTATTTCCTCTTTTCTACCAGAAAGAACAAAAGGTTTTTGCTAATTCAACTTGTTACTTGAATGCATAATTTACCACTGAGGGCAGATGCATTTAAATAGTTCATAACTCACTTGAGTATAGGAAATAAGTTACAAATTCAGCTCTACAATATATATCTGCTGTTTATATTCCCCTCCTTGCTCCCAGTTAATTATCTTCAGTGATTCGTCTCTAATATTTCTATATCATAAATACACGGTGAGGCTGAAGTCATTAATGCTTATATGTTGTCTGGAGATGTTCGCAAAGCAACCATTTAAAAGGGCCAAGTGTATTAATTACTGTTATAGTATCAGACACTAGGGAAATTCAAAGTATAATTAAAATCATTTTCAAATATGCCTTCTGAAAATTGCAATAACGTGACAAATGGCAGTTTGTTTCTGGGTCTAGCATGCATCCATGTAATTCTAGTTTACTGTGTAATGAAATTAAAAGAATATGAGAAGGAAGTTGTATAATTCAAAGTCTTATTCATGCCTGAGTAATACTATAGCCACATTCTTCGTAATGTCATCGCTGTGTCCCTTATGTCCTATTGTAGAGTTCAGATTAGCCTTTGGATCCTGATGATTCTCACATAAAAGGCAGAGAGCAAGACTTGGACTAAATGGCGAGGACTAAGTTCACATCTCACATCATCACGAATGATCAAAATCAGTGCCTTGGGATGTCCAAACTTCAGACTGGTGCATACAATATACTACTAGTATTGAGTTATCAGTTGTCTTCAGCGACTTCAGTGAATGAATATAAAGTAGAAGAATTTTTTTTTTTTTTTTTTTATAATGACATGTTAGTCTGCGTTTGCATATCAAAAGTATTTGCCAGTTTGTGGAGGAAAGAGAAAGGATTATATCCTGAGAGCTGTGTACATAAAAAGAAAATGATATCACACTGAAGAAGTACTTGTCTGTATTCTTTTAGGTTTTTTTTTCTATTGTTTTATTATTTTAACTCGTGGAACTAAGGTTACCAAACATTATTTGTTCTTATCTTTCTTTTACGCAATACTACTCTGCTATTTCAGAGCAAGTAATGTTTAGGAGCTAGCATGCACAATCGCACAGCAGTTTGCTGCATGCTAGGATGGTCTAAGCAGTGCATTTCAGATTCAATGAAATACTCCTTATTCAACCACAAGGCCTCTATGTATTTTAACAGAAATATCTTCAACAGATTTAAGATAGAGTTTTGTGTGGCCTATGAGACACTTGTGAATCAGAAATTGGCCAAGTTTTTAAGACAGCTCTCCCAACAGTATTTTAGTTAACAAATGTTCTCATTTTCACCCTATTCTGGATGCTTACTAAAACAGTCATTAGTTCTTTGGAAAGTATTCAAAGCTTCCTTTTTTTTTTTTTTTTCATTATATTTGTGCAGCTTTTTTAATTTTTTAATTTTGTGTTTGAGGCTCTGCTCTGTTCAATCAATGATTCACTCTATTTTAAAATCAGTAATAATGTTGCTAGGAATTTGCCTGTTATTGACTTCTTTATGAGATGCAAGTACTTTTAGGGCCTTGCTGACATAAGCATTTCTGTTCTAATACAGTTGAAACCTAAACATTTCTGAAAACTCATCACTGACTAATAAGTTAGACACATTATCATATCATTGATACTGGCAAAATTGTTCACATGACTGAACAACTGATTTATCAAAAGTAGATCTGTCATCAACTTGTGAATTCTCAGAGAAACAGAGGAAGCTTAGCTTTTATTTCTATTTATGCATGTTTTCCTATGCATGTTAGAATAAATATGTAACGTAGCTCTGAGAGGGAATAAATAGTTCTTCCATATTACTTCAATTTACAGATGCTTTATTTCAGAATATTGGGCAGTATTTAGTTGAAAGGATACAACTGAGGTAAACAAGACCTTATGACAGTATTTCTTCTGCTAATATCTGTTTTTCCACTTAAAGGACAGGTAGAACTGATGCCTAGTTTTTTTCCAACTTCTGATGACCTATTTAAACATCTTTTTTGTCACTAATGTAAAACATTAGCTGACAACAAAAGCAAAACAAAAGAAAACATAAATTGTTCTGTGGAATGAAAAGCAGAGATCTATTGCAATAAAAATGAACGTGTCCTCTAATAACAGAAAGTGAGTACGTAAGTATGAATGAAAGATAGCAAAGTAGGGATAAGAATTCAACCACTGCTACCATTTACCTTTATTAATTGCATCTTAATTAAATTTGTGGGATTATGGAAGTTTAGATCTAATTTATATAGAATGGAACAGAACAGTGCAAGTCTGAAGTTGATTTTAAGATGATAAACATCTGAAAAATGCAGCATTAGATGAAAATTTCTGTGGGGTCTACTCAAATGGAAATTAAAGTTCTTGGATCTCTATTTAGTACCATGTGAAACTAAGCTGGCTTTTGATGCTTAAGGTACCTCCGTCGTGCAAGTCACAGCTACGGATGCCGATGACCCTTCGTATGGTAACAGTGCCAGAATCATTTACAGCATACTTCAGGGGCAGCCATATTTTTCTGTGGAACCAGAAACAGGTAAGGAAACTTGCTCTTTCATTTTGAAAATCACCCTAAGAAAAATTTAAAAGCTAACTGAAATGAAATAATATATTTTGCTGTTTTCATTATAACTTATCGTGAGTTTTTACATTTATAATAAGAACTATTATTACTGTTAATGCTATGAAGTGTAAGTAATGTTACAGTGGTACAATTGAAATAGCTACAACAGTTTGAGGATCTAAGTGATAAAGGCAAGAAGAAGGATTTGTGTACCAGAAAATGTTGCTTGGGTTTTTCTTACAGTTCTTGTTAGTCTAATAACGTGTTCTTTCTACCCACTAACCTTGTCTTGTGTAAGTATCTTGAATCACCTTTAGCTTGGGATGTAAACTTGAAAGGGAGCTGTGATGTAGAATGAAGGGGATTTTTTTAACAGATTGTACTGAAGACTATTTATAAAGCTTATGAACATAAATTTATACTTTAGAGCATGAAATGAATATTTTAAAAATGCATTTCACAGACTAATACAAAAAAGGATGCAGTAGATTGCTGCATGTCAAAAATAAAAGGATGATTAACAATTTTTGTTTGCTCTTTATTTAAGGCATCATCCGGACTGCTTTACCAAATATGAACAGAGAGAACAGGGAGCAGTACCAAGTGGTTATCCAGGCAAAGGACATGGGAGGCCAGATGGGTGGATTATCAGGGACCACCACTGTGAACATCACTTTGACTGATGTCAATGACAATCCACCTCGATTTCCCCAGAGTAAGCTGCACTTAATTGTTGTCCTGCAGTATAAGAGGTTCAAACTAAAGAGTTAAGCAATGACCATCTGGTTTAATTTACAGTAAATCTAGATTACAGGGCACACATGAACAACAACAACAAAAAGGCTTATATACTGATTTATTCACTATTATTAAAGCAGAATATTAAATGTTACAGCACTTGTTTGTTAGGAAAACATTTACATGATCAGCTATAGCGATGGCAGGCCTAGGATACCTTCCAGTTCTATGTGAAAGGGTGAGACGTGAATTCATAAGAGCATTAGAGCAGTGTTTTTCTTTCCCCATAGATATTACTTAATTCCTAGAGATTTCCCTACCAGAAAATAAAACATGTAGTTGTTGCAGATATACAGAAATGCTTGAATTGTATTATCTGCTTAAATATTTAATCATGGAGAACCTGAAAAAGGAATTACTTGAAGGAAATCAAGTAGATTTGTACTTCTCTACTTATAGTGTTCCACAATCTGATAGACGTCCAAAAGGGAAGTAAATGACATTTAACTTATTTTTTTGATTACTTATGCTGTCCAAAGCATTTTATACTGATTTTTAACTTTTGATAGTATAGCTATCAAGGCATTTTATCCTCAAATTAAAGTATGAAACCATTATTAGTCTCTACATAATGTGGAAATTTTATCTAACTAGAAATTCATTAAGGTTTTGTATTTTAAATGTATTTAAAACATTTTGTATGTATTGAATTCATAATATTTGCAAAATGGTTTGATCATAAACAATTTAGGTTATCCTCAACAAACATTTTCTTCTGTGTAACTCCACTAAATCCAGTAGTCACTGACGATCATCCTCCAGGCTCAAAATAAGTGACACTGGTTCTGACTTTATTATGTTCTTTATGGTACAAATTGAGCATGCACTTTTGTTCAATTTAGCATTGTAATTGAAGCATATATGTGTTTAGCTAAGGTGGTTATCAGCATGGGAATTAAAATACACTCAAATAGGAATATCACAAGCAATTGAATGTTTATAGTTTGTGCATAGCTACACAAGCCCTATTCTGGACAGAATTTATTGTTGATTTGTCTTTTTATGGCCTGTATTCCCACAGTGTTTTAAAGTGTTAAGTATGCAGTTAAGCCTTCCCTGTTCTCTTCTCTCTTCTTCCTTCCTTGTTGTCTTTCTGTTTTGTTTTTCTTGTTTCTTAAATATTGTGTGAAATTAATACCTAAAGCAGTGGAATCGACTTTCTAGACTGTGTTTACATGACTTAAGTGGTAGTCCACCACCATATTCATTGGACTCAGATGAGGATCTGGTGTAGCATCCCAGGAATATATGTGCACTTTTCTATTGTCTGTATGAATCAGATGGGACCTTTTGTTTAAATTAATTTTAATTCTTGGTGGGCTTTCGTTTTACTTTGTTTTTCTCTCTGCCATGCTAACTACAAACATTTCACTAGAAATGAAATTTAAAATATTTATGAAGGTTAATGTAATTTCACTTGTTATAACAAAGTTGAAAGTCAGCGGTTACTTTTTTTTTTAAGAATCTTTATTTTAATCTCTAAATAGAATTCAATGAGACTGTGAGAACTGATGCCTGTTCAGTTCTGTCCTACTAATAACAGACTCCTGTTAGGTTCATAAGATTATTGTATTCTTCCAAAATTTATCAATTATTAAAAATTTTCATATGTTTTCATAGGACTCAGGAGCATAAAAGGATGAATTAAACTTCTCCCACAAAGAAATGCACTGGAATTAAGAAAAACTGTGAAAACTATGAAAACAGCTTTGATTCCTCTTTGCCCTAATGTAGAGAACTGGGGCCTCTTCAGATTATTTTTCCACTCTTAAAAATCCCCTTAAAAGAGTATCTATATCAGTGACTGTTTCTCTAAGTGACTGTTCTTCTGTGATCACATGCTGACATTTAGCACAAAATCTTTCCTCTGCACCCACTCCAACAGCTCCACAACCTTTCTGTGCTGGAGGCCATGAGTTTGGACACAGTACTACAGACAGGGTCATACAAGGACAGTAGAGGGGGTCAGTCACCTCCCTCTTCTTGCTGGCCAACCTTCTTTTGGTGTAGCCCAGAGAATTCTTAGCCTTCTGGGCTGTAAGCACACACTGCTGGTTCATCCACCAGGACTCGCAATCCTTCTCTGTAGGATTGCACTCAATGAGTTCTTCTCCCAGTCTGCACACATATCTGGGATTGCCCTGATTCAGCCTCAACACGTTCCATGTGGCCTTGTTAAACTTCATTAGTTTCACATGGGTTCCATTTTCAATTCCATCCATGTCTCTTTGGATGGCATCCCATTCTTCTATTGTGTCAGTTGCACTGCTCAACTTGGTCTTGTTAGCAAACTTGATGAGAATGCACTCTATCCTCCCTGTGTGTTAAAAAACACTTGCTCCAAAATTGACCCTTGGAGGCCCCTACTTGTGACATGGAACCATTGACAACAATGTTCTGGCTACAGTCAACCAAACAATTCTGTATTCACTGAATAGTCTACACTTCAAATTCATCTCTCTTGAAATTAGAGATAAGGATGTGATGCATATCTTGCATAAGACCAGACAGCTTACATCAGTTGCATTTCCTTTGTCTACTGATGCTATTGCTCCATCATAGAAGACTATGAGATTGGCAAGGTGTTATCTGCCCTTGGTGAACCTTGCATGTGCTATATCTCTTCCAGGAGAATCCACTCTATGATCTTCCCAGGCACAGATGTGAGGCTTACCAGCCTCTAGTTCCCCAAGTCTTCCTTTGTCCTTTTCAGTACCTGGGGATTTCACCTGGCAACCTCAACTTTTCAAATAAGATGGAGAGTGGCTTGAACAACTAAATCAGCTCTCATACTCTGGCCACTGCTCAAAAAGTTCATCAATCTGGGCACACTTGCACCCATGACATCCTGCTCATCCTTCATGGCTGATTCTGGAATTCCCCACAGCTGAAGGTCTGACAGGTCTTTCGCTCCTCTGAGGGTGACACATCAGCAGGGCAAGGCCTCTCAGTCTGGGTTTCTGTCTCAGCCTGCCCATTGTGACAGGTGGTCACCCTGTTTGTCTCAATAGAGCACTCTACTGTTCTCAGATCAGACAAAAGTGGCACCTTTTGCCCTTCCTGCTCTGCCTTCACAAACTTGTTATCAAGGTTCTGAACAGAAAGGCAATTTAAGACAGTTTTAGGATCATTGTTTCAACTGTCATACTTCCAACTGTTTTCCAGAAGTAAAGATACTGTGTACACTGACACAATATGTAGACAATCTTTCACCTTGCTTCCACTCTCTTTGCCGTACGGAGAAGCTTTTTTCTTCTCCATCTCAGGATTCTTTTAATCTTTACCAACATCTGCAAGAATATAACTCCCTGGAATAAATGCAAACAATATACGACTCTCACTGGTGAAGAAGAACAGTGAAACAAAAGGGATTTACAGTAGAGTTCTGAAAGACTAATCTAGTTTGTGTAGTTATGTTCTGATACAGTGGGTAAAGTTACAGTATCTCCCATGCTTAATGTCCTAAATAATTTCTAGTCATCAGTGACAAAAATAATAAAAGACAGTATTTTATAATATGGTGCAGATTTCTATTAATGTATAGTTTCAACATAAAATTAAAACAGTCTGTCAGATGATAGATTTCTCATTATTTTCAGCATCTGTATCCACTGTGTATCCATTTGTACTTAGCACTTTATAGATAAATTAACAAGTTGGGCATTACAGTAGAAGTCAATATAGTGTCCACAATGCACTGATTGGGGATGTAGTTTTAAGCACACAAAAAACAAACAACTGAAAAGAATAGCTGACAAACAATAAGGCTTATTACAACATATAAAATATTTGCAAAAAGAGCAGTCTTTCACTGTAGTCTCACGCAGGACTAAATAAACACTAAATGCAAGCAGAGGCTTTTTTTTTTTTTAACATTAACAGATTACACAGAGATTAAACACTAATGTAGCAAAGTACACAGATTTAGGTTTTAGATAAAGGTAATGAATATGTCAGAGCAAATGCAAGACAAATCACTTGACTGAAACACCAAAAATCAACTGCACAGAAATTAATTCATATGAATAGAATATGGAGTGTTTATGGTCATAAAGTATTAATTCTGGTGTTGTATACCAGTTTCATATCAAAAGCTGCTGAAAATTGTAAGAAATTCAATTTTACTCTTTACTAATCAATATTTAGTAAATAAAGTATATGTGAATGTGTTTGAGGCTTTTTTTTAGATTTTATTTCTTTTTTCATATTGGCAACTACAAATAATGGCAAAGTAATTCTGCAGAATAAAAGAAATTCTTAAACTTTTGAGTTAAAAAGAGTGCTTCTGTTTTTTCAGTCAGTCTCCTCAAAAACAGAAGCAGTACTTTTGTCACTCTGTATTTGCCTTGCAACATACTCTATTAAAAGAAACTGAAAATCCTCACTTCTGTTTTCCTGAGGATATGTTGGGGTTGGGCCACTGCCATTCCTCGTAATTCTTTCTGATCACACATAATTATTAATTTCCTTTATCGATTTCCTTACTTGGGTATATGCATGCTACTTCCTGAGTCCACCTACTTGTGGATTTTCATAACTTTCCCCCTGTTTATTTAACACTTTACCTGGTTATCTAATTTTGAAAGTGAAAATTTCAATTTGCTTCTTATACTTGGCGGGAGAAGTCAGGGAAGTTTTGGTGCTTCTATTGCTTTCATGGTTGTATAGATGTAAAATGCATCCCAAAAGATTCACATTAAATACTATGTGAATTAAATTATGCAAATTAAAAAAAAATGTGATCAATTATTTTCTGGAAAATAAAAATAGAAAATAAAAGGCCTTTTCAACTATTTTTCTAGGATTTTTTTCTCTGATTTTGTTTTTCTACTGTTTTCACTCTTCTACCTGAAATTCTCCTCTACAGAATTTTTTGCCTCAAATACATTACAAAGGAAAATCTCTAGAATAAAAGATAAACAAAATTCTGCACATGATGTTACTTAATGCATGTGTAATGGCTTATGGGGCTCCTGAGTGGCTCTTTGTCTCTTTGACAGGTACCATCCACCTCCGCATTCCTGAGTCTTCTCCAGTCGGGACAGCTATTGGCAGCGTCAAAGCCACAGATGCAGACATTGGAAAAAATGCAGAAGTAGAGTACAGAATTGTAGATGGTGATGGGACAGATATGTTTGACATTGTAACGCAGAGGGACACACAGGAAGGCATCATTACTGTGCGGAAGGTGCCTATTAAAAAGTTTCACTGAATGGCTTTGGTGTCAATGCTATGGAACAAGTGTTCTTTCTAAAAAAGTGCTTAGGTCATGTGATGTTGATTCTAATGCTTAATATTTGCAAATATTTCCCCACTGGTGACTCAATGGTACTGTTTCCCTTCAAGATGAACTAGAAATGACACAGGGAAGCAATATCAGTGAGACACAGAGATGCAGGTTTAAAGCATTATTGCCAGCTAAGTATGCAAAAAAATAGGCCATTCACAACGTTAGTACTAATTATTTCTGTGATTTCAAATATATTTATCGAATATTCATGCAAGCTATTCTCTTCAGCAATCAATATGCAGTTAACTCACTACTGAATAACATAGGCTTTCCTTCTTTCAGATTGTCATTCGCTCAGTTTCAATTTAGGAGACCAATATATGCCAAGAAACATAATTACAATTGTGGAAACTACCACAAGTTATATTGTTTTATTCCTGTTTCGGGCAGGTCAGCTGGTACACACAAGTAGTGCATAATAGTAGTGTACTTGTTTTAGAGCTAGCTTTAGTTCTGTTTTCTGTCGCTAAGCACTTTCATAGGTGTAAGATCTCAGAGATAGAAATGTCGTTCTCCTGGTCCTCAACAATTTTTCCTCCGGAAGTGCCTCAGTCCTTTTCTTTGGGATTTTGAGCATTTCTAAAGAATCTATGCAGTATTTCTAACACAAAATAACACCTTAAGCATTATGTAACAAACAAAACACTACTATACCACAGCATCCCTCTCCTAATCTCTTGCTAATGACAACCAAGGTAAAGATACATTCTGCAAAGACGACAGTGAGTTCCTTTTTGTAATATACGTTATTTTGTGTTCTTTCATTGAAATTTATCTGGGAAGGTTTGAAAATACCTAGTTAGGGACCAGATATTTTTCCTTTTCCTAGAAATCTGCGAAGGTTTGGCCTGTTTCTTTCTTGCTTGCTTGAGGTTTCCCACACAAACTTCTATTATATTAAATCAATAAAATATTTAAAAAATACACTAACAACTGGATGAAATGTGAGAAATTCATGTTATAAGGTATCAGCTCCAAAAATGTTACCAATGAATTACAATGAATAAATTCTTCTAGTTTTGACGTTAGCAACCTGACACATTCAGAAATTACCAGGATGCTTTCTTGTATTGATAAGTAGCTTCTCATTCAGAGAGCACAGACAACTATATTAACAAGCAAGGAAAAAAACATGCTCAGACTGTTCTATTTTGAAAGTATTTATTATTTACACACTTTATGATTTCAGTTTTCACTGGTGAGTAACTACAAAAAAACTGGTGTTTCTCTACCGCGTCCATCAGTTTCTACATATCAGTGTAAGAGAAAGATTAAATAATTGCTTAACTTCATTGTTGCTGTGTCACAATTTTATATATTTGGAGAACATGTCTTGTTTTGCTCTACGCTGGAAGGCAGCATCCCTTAACAGCAGTGTGCTGCGCTTTAAAGATAATACCAGTAGTCACATGTTTAGCTTATATAACAACACTATGATGCACTTCCTACGTATATTCTTAGATATTCTTTCTTCTGCTCTGACTGCTTTCAAAAGAAAGTTTGAAGCAGCATGAAGACTACAATTTGTCTGGACTGCATCCTTCTGCTCTAGGCTGTCTTCCTAGCACCTTGCATGAACAATATTTGCATTTAAAGGCAGCAAAGAGAAAAGAAACAAGTTTTCTACCACCCATTTTTGATGAAGGAAAATGATTTTTGTATCTCCATGAGATGTATAGGGAATTAAGGAAGTATGATTTATTAGCTAATACTTTCCATCTATGAGAGTTGGAAACATTTGAAGGAACAGATGAACGTTATTTTTTTTTTCTTGTATCTACAATTGTTTCTAGCCTTACCCTTTTGCTTCCATTTTAAAAAGGAACTGCTGACAAAAATGTTAAATCTATTTTGCGGAAAAAAAAAAAAAAGATGTTTCAGGAAATTCAGTGATGAGGAACAGAATTAAGCTCTTACTATATATAGAGCACTTTGAATCCCTGTCCTTAAAAAAAAAGAAATCTACCACTGATTTTGAAGGCCAGGTATTTGTTTGACAATTAAAATACAGAGTTTTGAGGTGTGTATATTTTTTGAATAATATCACTATTATGCACCTTGTTCTGCAGTGTCAGAATTTTAAATCAGTATTTTAAGACTTAAATGCTTATAACATTATTTCATCTTCCTATGCTTGCGAAAGAACTGCAAAATTCACCAAATGTCTAGTAAATTTGTGCTGAGAAATCTTTCTGCAACTGGGGTTATTTCAAGTATTATTTAGTTACAGAAACTACCCTTAAAATTTCTGAAAATTCTGAAAAACTGAGATTTCCTTAGTAGGGAAAGTGATTTTTACTCTGGAAAATTTGAACTGTGTTAGGGTTCTCCCAACTTGGAACAAGATCTGTGAAGGCTTCAGTCTTTGTTTTACTGTATATATAGATCAACATTTGTTCATACGTAATGTAATTTACTAGCTTATCATCATCTTCATTTTTAGCCATTGGACTATGAAACAAGAAGGCTTTATACCTTGAAAGTAGAAGCTGAGAATACCCATGTGGATCCACGCTTCTATTACCTTGGGCCTTTCAAAGATACAACTATTGTGAAAATTTCTGTAGAGGATGTAGATGAGCCTCCTGTCTTCAGTAGATCTTCTTACCTTTTTGAGGTTCATGAAGATATTGAGCTGGGGACAATAATAGGAACGGTAATGGCACGAGATCCTGATTCAGCTTCAAGCCCTATAAGGTAATCTCCGATTCTCTGTAAAGAAAGAAATTTGGTAAAGAAAATATTAAGAGACATGGTAGAAGGTGCTAATGTTCTTTCCCATATTTACTAGTGTGCCAACCAGAGTTGAAAATGATGCTATCTATTTGTAAGCCTCAGACACTACAGAGAGCAGGTGTTCACTTACACACAAGACAGAGAATAAACGCTTCTTAGTTTAATAAACTTCCTATCTCAGAAAACTTAAAATTACACACTGATTTCAAGTAGGCTCTTCAGGACTGCTTGCTTCAGAATATGAAAAATTGCAAAACTAGTGTATGGGTGAGGGATTTCACTTTTTTTTTGCCATTTAGTCCTGGAAAATATGCAGCGCCAAGCTCTGGTTCCTGCTATAAAGGCTACCAATGTGATTGGTACATAGAATAGATTTATCCTGGTGTTTCCTCAAATTCCCTAAGAAATTAGTCACTCAATGATTAATCATCAAAATATCTCTTCTGTGGATATTGCTTGATGCTATTTGCTAGATCACATCTAGCTGGATATAGTTAACTGTATCTTGTTTAGTTAGTTAGTTAGTTTGATTACTGTTGCTACAATACATAATTCTTAAGAAACAGATAAGACAAAGCTGTCCAAGTTGGATATGTCTCGCCTGAAATGCCTAACAAAGTACAAAAACTATATTTGGCAAAAAAACCCACATTATTTACTAACTTTGAAGTAAATTGTCACATGCAGCTGAATGAGGCCCAGGTGGAAAAAACTGTATTAGGAATTGAAATTGAATCTAATTTTCTCCTATGGTGATTTAAGTGTATAGAAAAGATAGCAGATGAAAGCGCCAAGCCTCTAAAATTGTAGAATATATAAATAACTTAGCAGTGCATCCTTATCCACTCTAATTTCATGAGACAGCTGACAATTTTAGCAGTTATGTTTCATAATTGTGAGTGGAAAAGGAACAAACTTGGCACTTTTACTCATTTTGTTGCTAACACAACTCAATGAACTGAAGGAATTTATTTCCTTCATCAGTATTACTTACAAAGAACAGCAATTTAAAAAGTGTTTTATATAATTTTTCTGTGTTCTGTTGATGTCTTAAGACATTCCCCTTAAGAAAATAACTTAGAAGAGGCAGGTTGGCAAAATGAAAATAATGATGGGGAAAAATCAAACAATGAAGGGGACTGTTTAGATTTAGTTTATTACAAAAAGAAAATTAAAAACTCTGATAATGTTCTTCATGGTACACAACTTTTTTTTTTTTTTTTTAAACCTTTCTTTTAATGCTACACAGTTAAAGACAGGAACTTTAAAACAATTCATACTGCATAGCTCAAATTCTTCTCTTGTATTTTCTTGTATTCTCTTCAGTATTTGCTTTGTCTCTCAACTTCAAAGAATAATCAGGTACCTAGAGTAAGTTTTTACAAGATTTTACCTCTACCAACACCAATACTAAATGCAAAGTAATATGTATTCACCCCTAACCTGAAGAGCTGACCAAAATATTTTTGAAGCTGTCATATTATTTTGGCATTAAGACAATTTGTATATTTAAATGCTAATGTTTAATTAAAAAAAATCACAGCTTCAGTTTGTAAAACTAATTCAGGTTTTAACTTTCTTTTTAAATACTTTTTTTCAAATATTAGTTTCTGTTAATTGAAATTCTAAATTGTCAAAATAAGTTATTTTCTTCTTTAAAGCTCCATGGTTTAAGGAAATCAGTTTTTTATCATATAAACAGAATAGTCATACATATAATTTCTCTGAAAAATATAAGATTTTGTTAAATTCTATAACTTACTTATAGACAACTGGGTGAAGAAAAAAAATACTTGAGCAAGTTTTTCATATAGTTTCAGAAGATTTTTGACAGTTCTTTAATTTTTCTTTGTTTAAGTTTTCTTTAATTTTGTTCTTGTTTTGTTTTTACTCATTTTGGTGTTGATTTGGATTTTTTTTTTTTTTTTTTGCTTAATAGTTTATACATATTTATTTTGTTGAAAGTGGTGAAATGTAGAAATAAAATTCATCAAACTGTTACAGATATTTTCATATTGCACCATTTTTCAATTTCACTCAATCCAGTTAAATATTATATGTAAAAATTGGCACATTTAATGAAATGTTTAGGTCAGTCATAAAAGTTAATAAAAACATAAATGACTATTTTTAACATATTGCACAATAAATTGACCCGATACTGCCAGAATTAGACAAATGATCTTTATTTTGTAAAATCTTACATTTTACTCCACATCAAAGGTTTAATCTTGACTTTGAAGGCAGTGTTGAATATTAGAAAAAAATGAAGTAAAGAACAGTTCACTGATCATTGTTTGACATATCTGTCATTTTGTGATAGAAGAAATTGTTTCCTGAAGATTTATAGCAGCTATAACACCATGAAAGATTCTTTAACATTCATAAAAGTTAAATTTCTGCATATGATCTAATTTTTATAGATTTTTTTTTTTAATTCCATCTCTGTTAATTTAACATATCCTAAAGCACAGAAATGGAGTTTATAAGAGGACTTTTGAAAAGCTCAGAAATTAGCTGTCAGTCTCAGTCTGAAGGAACTGAACATCAAAGAGAATTTTCCTTTCAAGATTAAAACAATTCTTTAATTCTTATATTGAAATTTTGACTTCATTTTTTTGTGATCTTCATGCCTGTGAATGTTCTGATGAATATTACACTGCTATATCATACTTATAACTTATGAAATCTTTCAATTTTTATTTCTCATTCTAGAGAGCTAATCATGAGAATTTTTACAAATTTGCGTGTACAATTTCAGATATAATCACTACATTAACCACCAAAGATCAGGAGGAGAAAAGAAAGGAAGCACTTCATTTACGGAAACTGAATATTTGTGTTACAAAAAGCAATCTTTTCAATATAATGCATAGAACCCAACAGCTGTACTGACTTTTGAAACAAATGCTTTCTTCCATTTTTTTTATTAATTAACAACATTTATTCTTTCTTTGAATATAGGTTTTCTCTAGATCGTCATACAGATCTAGACAGGATATTTAATATTCATTCTGGAAATGGATCCATCTATACTTCTAAGCCACTGGATCGTGAGATATCACAATGGCACAATCTCAGTGTTATAGCAGCTGAAATCAGTAAGCTAGTTTGGTATTTTTTCATTCAATTTCCCTAGCCTTTCCACTCCAATATGTGAGATATTCTGGGGAATTAAGTTGGGTATAGCTAACAGCAGCTATGTCCATCTAGCATTTTTCCACCTCATCTTTTTCTAATAATGATCATTAATATCCAAGCTACTTCTGAAATATTATTCAATTAAATAAATTGTTTCCTCCCTTTACTTTGAGGAAAATGGCAGGATTTTGATGTTACAGTAGCAGAGTTCAGGACTATAATCTATGTTTTATATATATATATTGTTTTCTTCTTTTTTTTCAGGGAAAATAAATCTTTTACCTACATCTACAATTCTTGGAATCAATACATCTTAAAAGTTAGCTAGGTTGCACTTGATCACTAAACTACAACATTTCTTGGACTATTCAAATTATAGCCTTGTAGATATTTTCACGTTGAAAGTACAAAGAAGAAAGATGAGGTCCTGCTAGACAGTTGAGATTAAAACTAATACTCCTGCAAGAAAATTTTCTAAGTGACAAAAGTCAGAACTTTGAAATAGCTAGAGTGGATCTTATGCTTTCAAAGCCAGAGAATTTTTAGGGTTAACTCTACATCACTACAAAAAGCAGAAATTGCTAATCAGCAGTGAAGTATGGTTGGAAGGAACTACAATGCAAAGAATTCAGTGGAACACCACATACACTCATTTGACCACTCTTAGTCTTCCTAGACCTATTTCTGTAGTCAGGACCCCAGGTGTCTCCTGCCATGGGTTGGTTATACCTAGCACATCCAGTAGCTATACATTTTTCTGGCAATGCATGTTCCTAAGTTTGCTCTATTTCACATCCCTGCCCACTACTTTAAAAGCAATACTCAGAAGTACTTATGTATTAAAGAAACTTATAATTTTATGCCTCTATCATAACATTAAATTACTTCCTTGTCAGGATAGTTAGAGAGAATTTACATTGTAGACCTACGTAGAGTAGCTAAACTTCTCCAAAGGGATACATTAGTTCTGGAGAAAGTATGGAAGGAGGAAATTAGTTTAAAAATGTTAACTCTGAAGCATGACTCAGTCAGAGAGCAACTATAAGAACAGAACATATTTGGAAAGTTAGTACAAAAATGCAAAAGGATGTGAAAACTGTGTCCAAAACCTGCCATTTTAAACATTTCAGCATATTAAAGGACCAACATCACACTCTCCAACAAAAATGTTGTAAGTTACTTGTGAAGGTAACATCAGTTTTTCCTGAACGTTTCATGTTTTATTTGTTGCATCTTAAAAGGAAAATAAAACCAAAACAAACAAAAAAATCCCAAGTAATTTTGAATAATTTCTATTGTTATTTATCTATTCCATTAAAGTAGCAAAATCATACAGTTTTTAAGCTGTTGGATATCCAGCACAATTCTAAGCAGTAGCTGCATTTTTAGTCTAAGACATTATTTCAGATTCTTTGTAGGTCAGATCGATCTGCAAGGGAGCACATTCTAAATGATACTAAGGTCAGAACATTTGAGGAGATGGGTTAAAACCAACAACAGTAACCACTTCTAAGGTCTGAAAAATTATATTTGTATTTTTTAAGGCAATTTAAACATAAAAACTCTAATTGGTTCTCATTTTTATTGGTATACTTTGACTTTTTTGAATTTTCTCCCTGCTTACTAAGACATAGGAGAGGTTTAATAATAGGTCTCTTTTATGTTAAACCAATTGCAAATCATTTTATAATTCAAAACTTTATATCAGAAAGATACACTTGAATCCACAAAATAAATTTGTCATTATAGCAATGGACATATTTTCTATGTGCTATATTTACATTGAACACCAGCAGTGGCAGCCACTAATTTCTTGTAAATGTCTTAATTGCTCACTAGATTCAAATACATACATTTTTTTAATCAAAGTCATCCTCTTACTTTTTCACCAATTTCAAACCTAATCTTGAATATCTCTTGCTCATTAAATTTGGAAGATAGAATACTTTTAGTAGTAAGTTAAATTCATTCTTCTTTCTCTCTTGTCAGACAACCCGAAAGATACTACCCGTGTTCCTGTTTATGTAAGAATTTTGGATGTTAATGACAATGCCCCACAGTTTGCTGTATTCTATGATACTTTTGTTTGTGAAAATGCAAGAGCTGGACAGGTATGACTTTTATAAAACATTTTCTACTGTCTCATTTGGCTACGGTACTCAATTGTTGATTATTCTTGCCTGTTATTTAGGAGAAAATATGTCCAAAACGTCTTTCAGATGTTGAAAATGAACATAGCAGGTATCGTACTACGTGAGTCTTAAAGTGAAATATCAATTTATTTCAACAACAACAGCGTGTGAATTAGCACATTCCTCAACCTAATGCTGTAGTATTTTTGCCTATTTAGATCAGCTCAAGAAATATGGGTATAATTAGCTTTGCCGTTACCTTCTCAGAGAAAGCAAAATGTTATACTTAATTATTGAAAAAAAAGTTTTATCGATCTTTTCAATAACTCACAAGTGGCAAACCTTACATATAGTTCCATGCTAGTGGTGATTACACAACATATGCATCTGTCACACTTTCCTTTTCTTTTCCAATTGTAATATTTGTCTTTCATTATTCCAGCAAAAGTTTCTGAAAGTAAAGCACAAAATATGAATTTTTTTGAAATGGCAATACATGATTTTGATTTACTTCTTACAGACTACAGAAGGCCTATTTGAATTTAAGTAGAAGGACTGCAGTGCTTAATACCTAGTTCCTAACAGGCAGCTGCATATTAGAAACACTAAGAACTGTTTGCCTATTACAGCACAGCACGTCCCAGAGCACAGTCAGGCAGCAATAAATGCTTTAAAATGGTCACAGTAGAACCTCAGTGCAAGCATTTCAGATGGGAGATGTGTTAGTATCTCTTAACTGTTTCAGTCCTACAGGTATTACATTCAGTTTGCATCACAAGTTTTGCACTCAGGCTGCCATTCTTTTTTTCTAAAGCAACAGTAGTCAGAAAGTACAACAAAGAACTTACATTTCATGGTTATAACATATTAAATACTTAAAAATATTAAGCAATATTTGCTATTAGTAGCATTTCAAGATGATTAGAGCTGTATAAATGGAAATCTTGGGCAAAACATCTAAAATTTCTGATAGTTATATTGTCTCCTGTGATAGTTGTATTGTTGCCTGTGTATACTAATATAAGATTTTAATTAATTCAAATTTTAGATATAGAATTAAAATTAAAAATGTAGAATACTGATTTTTTTCTTCCAGCACCAGCACCTCTGGCCGAAAAAAAACCAGCAATGCATCAGTGCACAAATTAACCACAATTCTCTTCACATTCAGAAATGGCCGTCAGTTAAAAAAGGAAATAAGAAAGCACTTTAAGTACTTACATCTAATAAATAAGGAACTAAATGTATGTACAAAATTATACATGTTTATTTGAATTATAAAGCTCAGAAGGGTCTCCCTTGCTAGAACGAAGTGGCAATATTAGATATACTACATTATGATAACCAATTTTATTTATTATATAATTATAATAATTAAATAATCATTTAACACTGTCTGAATTTTTAAATAAGTCTTAAAATAAAATCAATTCACAGGAAGAGAAATGAAAAATTCAATTCAGGATAACAAGAATAATCTATTTGAATGTAATTATATTCTCGTTTACAGGTAGATCAGTAATGAGTCATTATTTTAGAATTCAGTCTGTCTTGAGGGATTGAATTAAATTAATCCATACTAAGTATGGCTTGGATCCTCCCACATCAGCTATTTCTCTTTTCTGTTCAATTTTCTCCTCCTCCTTCCCCCCCCCCCCCCTTTTTTTTTTTTTCTTTTTCTTTTTTTTCCTTTTTGACTGTTCACCATGCTTTGTTATTCTGGTCACTTTTATATATATATAAACATATGTATCTGTGGGATTCTAAATTTATGTGAAATGGAATGTTACTGAGTAACAAACATACAGCCAATGGTATAGGCCTTGCAGTAACAGATGTGGATACGCACAGGAGCACAGCAATGCTCTGGCCTTCTTAAAGACCATGCCCGTTTGCTGAAGGACTTCCTTCCTGAGCTAGAGCAGAGATGTAAACTGCATGTTTCCTTGCAGCTTTCAAAGACTTAGTCAGAAATAATTAGGAAAGTTGTGTTTTTATGTTAGGGTTTCCAAGCATGCCGTCTTCCTTTTATAAACCTTCATTTTACTGAATATATACATACCTACTATCTTTTTACTTGCTGCAGAATTATATAAAATCAGTCTATATCATTTTGAATTCTCTTTCAAAGATACCTTAAAATATGTATGATTTGTTTTTTTCTTCTTTTTCCCTGAATCTTAAGTCCTCATACGTTATACAAGCAGACTCGATTTCTGTCACCACTTCTTTTTTATATTGCTTATCATTAACTCATTTGAATCATATATTAAAAAAAATACCTTTGTTTCATCAGGAATATTTTTCCAACAGTAACATTGCTTAAAAATGGTGCAATGCTATAAAGCACCTGAGCTCCTCTGGATTGGCTCTGTCTTCCCATCAGGTGCTCAATCACTGGTTCAGGCCATATAGCATTTCTGCTACACATGGCTTTTGATATCTTTATATTTCCAACAATTTCATTACATTTTATATATTCCAGTGTTTATAGTGATGTCAGAATTTTCTTCTTGAACCATTTTATTCAATAATTCTCAGCGCTTTACTCTGACTAATTACAGTAAAATAAAACTTTTGTAATGGAATTCAATATAGAATTTTCAAACAGGTTTTTTTGTTGTTGTTATTTAATAACATATTTTATGATTATTTGTTTATTTTTGCATAGAGTTTAAAAACAAATGCTTAGCTTATTTATGTAAAAAAAAAAAAATCATTTACATTTTCAGAAGACCTAAAAACCACAAAGTTGAGTAGTTTTGGAATAAACAACCAATACAGCAACCGCCTTTCTACTTTTTTATCTTTTTTTCTAGTAGCTAGCAACATTCTTTGACTAGTTTTGTTTCCTTATATTTCTGTCTGTTTTCAACTGGAGAAACTGTCTCATCTTTCCAGTTATTACTGCTTCTTGACACTGAGAAGCAACTTAGAGTGAGATTAATGGAGGTATCCCATAGTAAATTAATATGAGAAAATAATGCTTTATACCATATAAATTGCATGAAACCATATAAATTGTAGGATTAATACAGTTGTTAACAATATCAGAAAATATATGCAAAAATGTGATAAAATGTTTCCACCTTCTGTTCATTTATTTTGTTTAAGCTAACCCAAAGTCACACTCTCTCTCCCCACTTCCTATCCCACTGCAATTAAACAGATCAAAAAAGCACCAAATGTAATATTTGTGTTTTGATACACTGCTTGGAGCAATGAATAATTACCAGGCTTGCCCCTCATCATATCTCAAAAACAAATAAATTTCTGTCAATATTATATTCATATTAATACATATCATGTTATGCAAGAACCCCTTTGGATTAATAATGACGTGGTGTCAGCACAATTACCAAAGCAGCTACTCTAGCTGTGAAAGCTGTGAAGAACAATTTTATTACAACTTCAGGGAAAAACAACAACAACAACAAACACATAGCCAGATTTCTATTCTTTGAAATTCCATTGACAGTATTTAAACTTTCTGATACAAATAGCTATTTCTTGGTAGGCTTTCATAGGCTTTCATTTTCTTTCTGGAAGTCTGTTATGTTAAATCAATTTCTCATGAAAAGGCATAGGGATAGTAGACCTTGGTCATATTTTTTTTTCTTCAGTGTCCCATGTAGTTCAACAGGATTTGTAATTAGATATGAGTGCTTGGATAGATGTTTATTCATTTATTTAACATTATTTTAAAAAAATGATACAAAATCGTACAGACAAACTGATGAGAATGAGAATTGAAAGCATTAATATTTCAGTATCATTCAGTTTCTCTAAGAAATAACAAGAATGTACATTACCAGCAGCATATATGCTGTAAGACAAAATATCTATATTTAAAATGTAATCTTCAAAATGTAAATATTTATATTTAGAATGTAAAATGTAACAGTAGGTGACCTGTAAGGCTGAGTTTACTGCCTACCATTTCGATTCTACTAAAATGTAGATTTATACTTAGAAGACACTGAGAAAGGAAAAGGCTACTAGGAGACTAATACACATCTTGATTACAAATAAAGAGGTGTACCCAATGAGAAATGTTGTCTTGTTCTTCAAGTGGATTTGCTTATATTTAACAGACTCTAAATAGTTACCCTGCGATCAATAACTGCCCAGAGGTTTCTGAGTCAGGCAAATAAGAGTATACTAAAGGCTGTATGAGTCCTTGAAGCTTCAAGAATGAGTCTGTGTTAAGGAAAATACAGATACTATTCCAGGTGGCTGCCTAGCACCTGTGCAAAAGGGAAAGCTAGTACAACACAGCTCTCATGGTTAATTACACTCATAATTACTTCCATCAGTTCTGTGCCTGTAAACAGTTGGATAATAATCAGATGAAAATCGTTGATTCATTGGATTTACCTGCAGAACACAGTGGTGGAGCATGCTTAAAGTGTTTAGATTTGTGAAAATGATTAAAAATTTGTGTGAACAAAGGCACATTTTCATAACATGCATACAGTGCCCCAAGATGACTGAAACTGAAACACTGGAGCAGCAATCACAATAAATACAGGCTGAAAATCTGTAAAAGAACACTTACTGGAAGAATCACTGTCACATTGTAGTTGCTTGGACTAGGTTAGAAAACAAGATATTACTCCAACCCATGCCTTCATTAGACAGGACTTGGAGAATAGAAGGAACTAATGGCTAGTATGAAAAAACTGTAAACAGTGGCTGTTCTACAGAGTGGTTATCAGTGTCACTTCTTTGTTTTGACAAGAACCTGTGAAATAACAGACATTGAAGGAAACAAGTATAAAGGAGCTATTTTGACAACAAAAAACAGTAATGTACTTGAGAAGCATACTTCAACCTATCCTCAAAAAGATGTGACAACTTTTTTTGCTCAAGTCAACAGAAAGCAAGCCAAATAATGTTTTTGGACATGGAATCTTATCTGCCATCCAAGTCTCTGGTGGTGCTGTTATTCTCTTCAAGAGATATGGAATAGGCAAGCAAAAAAATCATCTAAAAACCTATATCACTGACTGTGGTCTACATCTGTATTTTAAGTGCTTTCTGGCAAATATATCAGGAACCTGCTGGACAGGTCTTACTGGTATGTTGTAGCCATGTATTGTCTGAATACACTTCAGAAAATGTGCAGTGCTTTGAAAAGCTGACAGAAAGATGCTGCTTCCTTCAAAGACCACGTGCACTGATGTAAAATAACTCCATCTACACTGTTGAAAAGCACATGCTTCTTATGATGACATACAGGTGGAACTCAGGTGCACTACAGGTAGTGCAAGGAGAACTTTCCACGCTGACATGTGAGATGATGAGTGCTTGCTTTATGAATATGTGTCTTTCTTTGAAAAGGGGCTATTAATGGACTTCCTGTGTAAAAATTCAGTAATATTTTCACTTGCAAGAATTTCTGTAAATATATTAAAATAGAATTAAAAATATATCTCTGGTTCCAATTGAGAACAAAAGCAAAACAAATGATGCTTATCTTTGTGATTTTTTTTTTTGCAATTAGATGTAGAGATGTTGTAAATAACAATGTATCTATACACATTATCTCATTAAGATTGTCCCTAAAACTTTGCCTTTTAAAGATACACACCAGCATCTAGTGGGAAAATGCATAATATTTAGTTATTCGAGTCTTTGTTAGTATTTTTTAATTATGCAAAAATTTTCAAGTCTGAAGGATGTTTTTTACAACCTAAAACAACTTAAGAACCTACAAGCAGATTTTTTTTAAATCGTAATATAAGCAAATTATCTAAGTGACAAATAGAATGAGTATTTGAATAGAGAAGTTCCCAGAGAACTTCAATTGCTACAAGAAATTATAGACAGGTAGAAGATATTTTCCTGCTGTCTACTGCTGTTCTACTTAACTGCTGTTCTGTTAGAGTTCTGTCATTGATTGACATTGCTCTAGTAGATTAAAAATCTCTGAAAAATTTCAGGCAATAAAAAAATTTGTGTACTCATTCTAAATTATAGGTATGGGCAATCACAAGAGGATTACCTGATTTTCATCAGTTTAACACCTACAACAGACCACTTTCATGGTCTTCACTTGTGAAGTAAAATTGACTTGTTTTTTCTTGACTTAAAAAATACCTCTAAGTTTGTGAAAATCACTAAAGTTTTTTTGCTAGTTACTTATACAGTCATTAAATAATTAAAATCTTCATCCCTTAGCAGAAAATATTATGCTTCTATCTTTTATCTTTTATCTATTCTGCTTTCCCAGCAAGTTAATGTAGGTTTGTGTGATAAAATAAATTTAGAGGAGAAAACCCCGGATAAGAAAGCTTGCAAGATGATGCATTAAACAAATCCGGTCCCTGCCTCTTGAAGAAATTTGTTGCTGTATTCAGGATGTACAAGAGAGAAGTTGGGAGTTAATCATGCATTTGTAAAGGCAAGCAGGAGAACAGTGCAATTGTTGATGTTAAAAATGATCAGTTCTGACAAAACCTGCGATATGAAGAGAAATGGCTGGATTTGGAAGAACAGGAAGTGGAAAAACAGAGTTTAACAAGTATGCCACAGGGAAGAAATAATGTCAAAAATTAGAAGTTATTGCATGCTTGGAAAAACACTGCAATTTAAAATGATGGATGAGATATGAAGAATAACGAAGATCTAGGTTAAAGATCTAGGTTAAAGATTTCTTGTAGTTTAACACAGAAGATAGCTAAGCACCACATAGTTACTCTCTCAGTCTGCTCCCCCCCATTCCCAGTGGGATGAGGAAGAAAATTTTAAAAAAGAAAAAGAAAGAAAGAAAGTGGAATTTGTGGACTGAGATAAAAACTATGTACTAGGACAGACAAAGGAAGAGGAAAAAAAGGATAACAGTTAAGATAATTATATATATATATATACATATATATATATATACAAGACAAGTGATGCATAAGCAATTGTTCTCTACCTGCCAAATGATGCCCAGCCAGTCCACAAGAAGCTGAAAAACTCAAACATCCTTGCCTCTGTGTAGCACTGCTCAGCAACATCATGAAATATCAGTGTATTATCAACACTGTTTTTCACCCAAAGCCAAATCAAAGCATCACATCAGACACTATGAAGGAAAAATCAACTCAGTTTGAGCTGAAACCTGGACAAGAGTAAATTATTATTGGCACATATAACTGCATATATGCACCCTCCAAAAATGTTAATCATAAGTATTTTTTTATTGCTGTGGGACAAAACAAACAAAAAGAAAACCAAACACTGAAACACAATCAATGAAGATTTTAAAAAATGTATTTTATTTGGAAAGTGGCATCTTGTCAGCCTTCCATCTAGAAATTTCAGTGGATAAAAAGGCACAAGTTCATTTACCTGACAGATAAGCAAATGTTAATGAATCCCTTGCTGCTACTTCCAAACAAAAGTATTACACAAATCTTTTTGCAGGAATCACAGAAAGCATTCCAACCAAGTACCAAACAGCTATGACATATCTGTGACACTGGATTTAATCTGAGGTGGTGAATCTGCACAGTATCTTATAATGTGTCTTACAAGTAGAAATATAATCTGGTATTTAGTAGAAAGATACTCTAACATACACTTTTTAATGTTGAAAATCTTTTAAAAAAATTTACTTTAATAAGAGATAGGAAAATCTTGCTTTAGAAAAAAATGTTATTTTGAAATATTATTTGAAACTTTAACTTCCCTATTAGAAGCAATGCTTTTGATGAAATAACATTTTCATCCCGAAAGCAAAAAATCTGCTCTGAATTCTTCTCTTAGGTGTTGATTTTAGTTTTGTCACTTATATAGTTACAAAAATATATAAACATATACTGAAATAAGAAAAAAAGGAGAATTAGGTTGCCATTTTTCTTCTATGCATGTACCACCATAGAAAATCTATATGGATGCTCTTGTTACAAAGCTTACATATTTGTTTAAAATTTGTTCAGTTGATATGTCCCACAGTTTAAATATTAAATCAATATGCAAATAGTTTGAATAAGAAGTTTCTTCACTCTGCTTGTCTTAAGATATTCAAACATCAAAACCTAGATGCATTTTGTTTTATTTTGTTGTTGTTGTTTGCATTTATTTTTCTCCTGCAGCTTATCCAGACCATAAGTGCAGTAGACAAAGATGATCCTCTTGGGGGACAAAAATTTTTCTTCAGTTTAGCAGCTGTTAACCCTAATTTCACTGTTCAGGACAATGAAGGTAAAATTCTCTGATCCGTGGAAGTTTGATCTTTACTACCTGGCATGCATTCCTGCAATATTTTGAATTTACTTATATATTCCATCAACAAATAGAGAAGCCCATAAGGCTGCTGTTAACAGCAAGATAAATTTAATTTGAATGTTTGTGGTTTGGGACTTCTATATTTTCATCTGTGTATGGAAGGCAAAACTTACTTAGGAAAAAAAATAGGATAAAATGAATTATAAAGAAAATCAGTGAATGTTGGTTTGGAGTGAATAACCAAATAAAGGGAGGATAGGACAGAAGAAAGCTTAAAAAATGGCTTCACCTTCCAAGTTCAGATGTTTCACTTTAGCTTTCTGTCACATTTATGTCACCTGATTTTCTGTTTTGCTTCTTTCTGATGATTAATGAAAATTATGGCTGATAACACATGGCCACTTTGGCTTTGCTTTGATCCTTGATCAGTCCAGCTTTTATCAGGAGACATGTACAACACATCCATTTCAGCCTTCATCACCAGTTCAATAGGGAGCGCTTTAGACTACAGAAGAAATAAACGAAGGGAGATATCATAATACCTTCAAATATGTTAAAGTTTTTTGACTTGGCAGTGGGAATAATCCTCTATAAATGATGAAGATTACAGGAAGTAACAGGCTGCAAACACCATGAGGAAGATTTGGTTGAAATAAATTATATAAGTAGGTAAAGAGAATAATTGAAGTTGAACATTTAGGTACCATATAGATTTCTCACTAGCAGAGAAAGGTATTTTAAAATACATCAGACACATTGTTTTTCATGTTGAGTGAAAACAAATGACATAGATACACAAAACAAATCAAAGGATGCAGTAAAAGAGAACTTTGTGTTTCAGTTCATGGAGGCCATGAAGAAAAAAGTCATTTAATTTTTCAAACAAAAATTATGTCCTAGTGACCATGCAGAGGTATTGACCTTGGTATTTCTCTTCTATGTGAAATTATTTTCTTTATTTTGTATTAATTATTTAGTTCATCTTGAATTTGGCTCACAAAACATTTACCATTTACCTCAAGAAATTCATTTGTGTAATGACAATGAAATTTTCTTTCTAATGGATTCAATCTGAATTTTCTCCCTTTTGGATTTGCAAGTTAGCAACTCTAGTGTTGGGTCACAGTTTTAGAAGTATAAGGTAGCTTTGACAATAGAAGTAATATTCTTTTACTGTTACATACTACCTTCATTTCTTTTCTGGCTACTCAGTGAATAGATTTGATGCTGAAGCATACTACATATGTATTATTTTTTGGGCCACAAGTATAATTTAGTAAATTCACTTCTCAAAACTGTCTTTTTTTTTTTTTCCAACAAAAATTCTACTCCATGTGCAAAGGTACATAATTCATTGTTCTACAGTATGTTGAAAGTCTTTTGGTGTGGAAAATCTCATTCTGTATTTACTGATAGCATTCCCCTATGTGTTGTCACAGAAGATCCATAGGAGGAATCTTTCAGAACAGAGTGCTTGTTGAACAGCGTGAAGTGGAAGGTTATTTTTTCTCAGTTGGCCACTTCATTTCAGGGCTTTAGCCATGGAATGGAACTGTGTCGTGCACTGCATGCATTAATCCATAAAACATTTTAAGCTTTCAGAAATCCTCTTTTCAAATCGCACTCAGAGGTGTTGCAAAGGCACAGAGGAACAGGCCAGCTGTATGTAAAAAATTATAAATAGCTTTCTGATTAAATGGGAATGTCACTAGAAAAGTCAGATATGACTATGAAATGAGGACTAGCCCATTTCAAAATACTAACAGTGACATAAAATATTATACTTTGCACGTACTATATGCGATACATTCTTTATTTTCCTTTTATTTTATTTTATTTTTATTTTTTATTTTCCTATTTTATTTATGCAAAATAACATTATATTTTAATCTATCTAGATAACACTGCCAGAATTTTAACAAGAAGAAATGGCTTTAGTCGACACGAAATAAGTACATACCTCTTACCAGTGGTGATATCAGACAATGACTATCCAATCCAGAGCAGCACTGGCACACTTACCATCCGAGTTTGTGCCTGTGACAGCCGAGGGAACATGCAGTCCTGCAACGCAGAGGCCCTTCTCCTCCCTGCTGGCCTCAGTACAGGGGCACTGATTGCCATTCTCCTCTGCATCATCATCCTGCTGGGTAAGAAAAATGTATCTTTCCTCCTAGAGCAAATGCTTCAGGTCTAACACACAAAAAATCATGCAGGTTGGCAGAATAAATGATCATGGGGTTTGCTTCTTTTGCAAGAGAAACTCAATGCAAAATTAAAGGAAATAAAGGCAAAAACTGCCTGACAATTGAACGTAGTAAAAATGAAATCAAGTTTCAGACTTCTAAATGCATTTTTACTATTGTCTTGTCTTTAAGAAAGATGATCAGGCAGAAGGAATAATGTAATAAAAAATCACTTTCATGTCTTTTGTTTTAACTTTTTTTGAGATAGAGAATCTCTTGTTTAAATAAACGCTTAAAGTCATCGTGCAGTATGTATTTCACACAGAATTAGCCAGTAAATAATATTTTTACCATATTAAATCAGTTTATCCAAAGGTTTCTATGCTGTAATAAAAAATTTGTAAATTTTTTAAAGTTTCCATTTTGTGTTTCTCAGAATATACTTAATAATCTGTAGTTCAGATGGAAAACAGTTTGAACATGCTCCATACTAAAAAATGGGAAAAGACCTTCAGAGTAAACCTGGCTATTTTAAAACTCATCTAAATTACCAGAGGAGCACATAGACAAAGCTCATGGTTCTCTGCAAAAAAAGCACATTTTGATACAGTCTCTACTGTGATATAGACAGTGATCAGGTAGAAATGGACTGGCAAAATGTAGATGAAATAAAGCTGTTGTATCTGATGGAATCACTACTACAAATTGTTCTGTCCTTACCCATTCTTTCCTCTCCCTTAAAGTTATAGTGGTGCTGTTTGCTGCTCTGAAGAGGCAACGAAAGAAAGAGCCTTTGATCCTGTCTAAAGAGGACATCAGAGACAACATTGTGAGTTATAATGATGAAGGCGGTGGAGAGGAAGATACCCAAGCCTTTGATATTGGCACACTGAGGAATCCTGCAGCTATAGAAGATAAGAAGCTTCGACGAGACATTATCCCTGAAACGTTATTTGTACCACGGAGGACTCCTTCAGCACCAGATAACACAGATGTGCGAGATTTCATTAACCAAAGGTTAAAAGAGCATGATACTGATCCTTCTGCACCACCGTATGACTCGCTTGCAACCTACGCCTACGAAGGAAATGATTCAATAGCTGAATCTTTGAGCTCCTTAGAGTCGAGTACTACTGAAGGAGACCAAAACTATGATTACCTCCGAGAATGGGGCCCTCGGTTTAATAAGCTTGCTGAAATGTATGGTGGAGGAGAAAGTGACAAAGACACTTCTTAACCTACAGTAGGCTACATTCTTTGTTCCTTTGAGCGGAAGTAATTTTACAGACACCTTCTGCACTCAACAGTATTTAACATTCAGGAAAATTTTCCTGCCACTCAGCACAATGATTTCCTTTAGAATTTGTTTTCAATTTGTCCATTTATGTAATTCATTCTTTCTAGTAGGATGCCACTTGGAACGCATACAGTATTTTATTTAATCACCTTCCAAGAGCCAAAGCTATGGAAATTCAGTGTTGTCCATTTTAGTAATTAAAATTAAAAATACCTTACCTTCAGAAATTTGAACAGGGTGATAATCCCTTAAGCAACCTCATGTACAAGCCGCTTCTGTTAGGTACATGTCCTACCCTTGCAAGTGCAGCTTTTAAGAAGGCAAAGAAGAAAAAATCCAGTATGTTCTGTTCTGTACATTAAAACTGAAACAAAATGTACACGTGGTGTTAATAAGTGTAATATGCAGCTGGTTTAAAAAAAAAGTTTGTGCAACTTCATTTCATCAAATTCTATCTGCCGATGTTTTATATTTATATTTTTGTATTTATTTTTAAGAAATAAACCAGTTTTTACAACTATTTTGATGCTTTCTTGCTTTTTCTTGCCATCAGTTCCTGTCTTAAAGGAAGCATGATATTTCTCCACTGGCAGCACAGCCAAGTGTCACTGGTTCTATGCTGCTGTCTGCTGCATGCATGCAGTGCAGCCAGAAGTGCATAAACTCACGGGGAGAGGATCAAGTCATAGATCTATTTGCTTGCTCAGAAGTGTTACTTTCTACAGTTGTCATGTTTAAGAAAAGTTTTATTTTTGAACTAAGTTAATGATATCTTATTAGAAAGATGGAGTGCAATTATTTTGTCTTAAATTACATAATTCTAAAAACATGTCGATAAAATTAACCTGAGGAAAGAATTCATTTTGAAAACTTGGATTATTTATTCTAATTCTCCATTCTGGATCATGATTGCATCATTAGATGTGATCTGTAATTGCAGTGAAGAAAGTGTAGAAAGATGCAATGATGCAATATATATATAGCAATGATTTTTAAGCACCAACATTTTCCTATGGCAAATCACTTGACAAAACACTGCATTCTATTGCAACTATCTGAGGGTAAAGTAATCTCCTTTAAAGCTGCCAGGCTGAAGACTGACAAAATGTCAGAAAACTAGCACAAACTCCCACCCAATCTTCTCAGTTTTCTGATGGCTTGGAAAAGACTAGCAAAAAGAAAACCAAGCTATTAGCCAGCCATAACAGAAATCACACACTAGTTATCATATAAAGTAGGCATTCCAAGATGTTTTAAGATGTTTTTTCTTCCCACAGTCTTTAGATTACACAAACCTATTCAGTGAACAGCATTCTGGGAACTATACACATTTCTGAGATTGGATAATTTCAGAGGAAGAGCAGGATGTCATAGAGTCTATATTTACTTATTTATTGTGAAAGAAGTACATCTGAAGGACAATCTCTCCTTTTCTATCTCCCTTAACTTCTTGCTGGCATAAAATCAACAAATATTGAAAATACATTAGTTCTTTGTAAAGTGCATTGCTGCATTCTTATTATACCAGATATTTCTTCTCCTAAATTGAGAGATTAAATGCAGTGAAGTTGAAAGCTGAATACAGTGCCATTATGCAAGCTAGTTCTGTGCAATGAAGAATGAATTTTTATTGATTTGATATCAAATTAAAGTATTTGATCCATTAAGAAACTTTGAAAATTATGGATTTCTCTTCATTTCAATCAAAAATATCTTCATTTTGATATTCTTTAAAAGAAAAATAATTCTTAGATATTAAGAAATATCTTAGATATTTAGATGTTATAAAGTTCTTTTGGAAGCGTGACAGATCATGCAAAGAGTTCTTTTTTTTTTTATGACTATTTAGTGAAATTGGTCTTATTTTTCCACCCTTCCTAACCTTCATTTGTCCTTTAGCAGCATGTACTAGTAAAAAATAAACAAAATTCATTGATTCAATATGTTTATAGCCAAAAGACTCTTCCAATACTGTTTTCTCTCTGCAACAGCGTTGAGTTCAGATCAATGCCACTTGACATAGTTAACTGAGTACTTACCAGGACAAGATAAAATAGACTGTAATACACCTGTTTGTCATCTTTTGCTAAAAATAGTTTTTGGATAAATAAATGCAGTCTACGCCGTTACCTGCAACTCAGTAAGAATCTCTGGGGAAAAAATGACATACAACTCTCTGAAATATATCAGCAAATATCAAAGAAAATTCTACTATTTTTGTTTGTGTTACAATAATTATTTGAAACTGTATTTCAGACGGAGCCTGTGAATGACTTACAAATGTTTAAAAATTCAGAAACGTTGAAAATATTATGGCCACTGGTTCCCAAGAAAGCAGTTGGTTCTTAGAGTCTATTCAAACAAATATTAATTAATTTATTGAAATAGAAATATTGGAAAGAAGGGATGTACAAGATCTTATGTTAATAAACCGATATGAGAATAACAACCACAAAAATCATGTTTTGTAGGGCCTTCAGGGAAAGTGTTGATAGTAAGAAATGTCAAAAATTAAATGAATACTGATTAAACCACCCCAAACAAACAACACCTAAATCAACAAAATCCTCTGCACACAATCAGACAACTATATTCAACAGTTGCCACCCCTGGAAGTTCAGATGTTTTTAATTGCTCATTATCAGTAGGTGTGTAGCATTTCCAACACTGGTATTTACATAACAAGTAAAAACATTGTTCACAGTCCTGGAAAAAATGTTATGTAATGGATCAAATTATTTATCAATAATATCAATATCTATCTGGAGCCTACTCTTCATTCCTCCCAATCATTCTCCAGAGGACACCATTGCCCAAGATTTCCAACAATAATTTTTGAATATATCTTTATACTGCCTATTACACAAGGAAAATATTCGTATGCTACATTATTATCATCCAAGAATCTTCTAAGTTGTTTTTTTTGAGTCACTACATAAATATCTATTAAGGGCTATATAGCTTCTAACTTTGCTAGACACAAGTAGTGGAGACTGACAAATCAACCATTGCCCTATGTACTTTTCAGACTAGTTTGCCCTTATTGTAACAGAAATCAAATTACTTGCATGGTCCTCTGTATTTATGCAACAGTGGGAAGGAGAGTCAACTAAGTGTTTTCTCTTGCCCTATTACTAACTTCTGTGAAGAAAAATCAATGAACATATTTAGAAAGCTTGTTAGCAACATATGTGCAATAATAGCATATCAACAAAAGAGTTTAGGCTTCCTTGCTTTTCTCCAAATCAGGAAATTACTGATGTGATTACAAAATTTAGTAAGAGCTTTCCACAACTTCATTGTTTTATCAGAATCTGTTCACAGCAAGATGAACTGAAACAATTTCAAGTATTGGGTGAACCTAATGAGGTTTCAACACAGCAAAGTGCAAGGTTTTGCACTTGGGCAAATCCATCCAGGCATCCATACAGACTGGAAGAAGCAGCCCTTGAGACGATCCCTGCGGAGAAGGACCTGAGGGTCTTGATGGATGAAAAGCTTAACATCAGCCAGCAGTATGCTCCTGCAGCTCGGAAAGCAAATGGTATTCTGTGCTCCATCAGAAGAGGGGTGGCCAGCAGGGACAGGGAGGTGATTGCCTCTACTCTGCTCTTGTGAGGCCCCATCTGGAGTACTGTGTCCAGGTCTGGAAACCCCAGTACAAGAAAGACAGAAAACTATTAGAGAGGGTCCAAAGGAGAGCCACAAAGATGTTCCCTCCAGAGGAGGGGACTGGAACACCTCCCCTATGAAGACAGGCTGAGGGAGCTGGGCTTGTTCAGCCTGAAGAAAAAAAGGCTGTGGGATGACCTCATTGCAGCATTTCAGTACCTAAAGAGAGCCTACAAACAGGAGGGGAATCAACTCTTTGAAAGGGTTGATAACAGCAGGACAACAGGAAATGGTTTTAAGTTGAGGGAGGGAAGATTTAGGTTGGATGTCAGGGGGAAGTCCTTTACAGAGAGAGTAGTGAGATGCTGGAACAGGCTGCGAAAGAGGTTGTGGATGCCCCATCCCTAGAGGTGTTCAAGGCCAGGTTGGATGGGGCCCTATGCAGCCTGGTCTAGTATTAAATGGGGAGCTTGGTGGTCCTGCATGTGGCAGAGGGGTTGGAGATTCATGATCCTTGAAGCCCCTTCCAACCCTGGCCATTCTGTATTCCTGTGATTCTGTATTCATAACGTTATCTATCTACTGCGTTCAATGTATTATGTAAATAGTAAACATAAAGAGATAAAAGTAAATAAAAGAAGATATGTGAATATGATTTTTTTCTCCTCAAAAATGCCATGGGTTTCTCTATAATCTCTGCAGTTTTATAGTGAAATATTCTGTCCTCCAGTGTGACTGAATTGGCTGAAAAATCACTTTCAACTTAATTGAAGATGTAAAAAATAGCAATGATGTCATAATCTTTATTTTCAATAAAGCAGATAGGATCCTTTCTTCTTCTTCTTCTTCTTATGTTTTCTCTTTTTTACAGTTAATCTTAGTTGCATTCTAAAGGAATATTATAGAATCATTATTATCATTTAATAGGCCAATAAGATAACCTATCCATCCCATCAAGCAGGAAATCACAGTGACAGCTTTTAAAGTAATGCTTTAATTTGAACACAGATTTCTCTTTAAAAACAAAACAACAACAACAACAATTAATAGTTAATAATATATTCATATATTAATATATTAATAAAATTAATAAAATAAATAATAATAATAAGAATTAAGATTAAGACCAGTAAATAAAAAGATAGTCCTATGAACCACAAGGACGTATTACAACCATGCCTGGACAATAAATGAGCATATATAATCAATTTAGACTGATGTGAAATGATGCAGTGATTATTATTACAAGGTGAAATCTTCTAAAAGCAAATTATATGAAAACCTTAAGTAAATGTAGAAAATCAAACATTAAGATTTATACAGAAAGAATAAAAAATATATATTGATATGCTATCATATGGTATTCATTGATTGCCACATTGAAAGTCCTTATCGTCTTAAGCCTAGAAAAGGTAAAGAGGTTGAGAGATGACCAAAGGCAGATGTTCTGGGGTTTTTTTCTTG